TGTATAAGTTGGAGTTTTCTACGTCAAGTAGAAGTAGTCTGGTTATTCTACATTTACGAGGGTTAACAAGGTAAAGGAAAACGGCGAACTTCTATATTTTGGTTATTTTTATAAGACTCAAGACTAGATGTTTAAATACCATATAAAACATAAAAAGAACATAAAAACTGTTTTCCAGGACACATAAATTTGCCTGTAGGCAGGCAAGGAAAATGGAAAAAATGACTTGGTACAGACTTGTGTCGATAAGGATGTGCAGTTGGATATGTTGATAAGGGTGTGCAATTGGAGTGGCTGTAGAGGTTTCAGCAGTGTACAGATTTTGAGGCAGGTAATGAAAATTTATCTTGTATACTTTTCTTCTTAAATTTCGGTAAACTGACAAAACCCTATATCTCTCCTTTTAAACTAAATATTGTAAAATAATTTAAATAAGTATTTTCCAGACACTTTTTTGTATATGCTATGACAATAATAATTTTGAGTTTATTTTACTCAGTTATTAATTAAGTTGTCATTTGTCGGTGTTTGTATAAATACTTATTTAAATTCACTTAAAAGGATGTTTCACTTTATTTATGATAACTACGCTCATTTTCAATACTTGGTGGCGAATTCTACAAATTACTTTTTTATGGAAATGTACTACAGATTGGCAAAGTTTGTTACATTATTTTCTGAAGTTATTCAGATCTAGTTCATATTTATTTAAACCATTCTTTCTCTTAAAGGGAGTACCGACTTCAGCCTTTTACTCCGAACGGGCAGTTCGGCTAATCGGAACCTGCCTTTGAGCTGAACTGAACACCCCATGGAATGGAGCAGGGAAAACTGTTTGCCTGACCCTGGTATTCCTAAGTATTTTTAGACGCTTAATCCGAATCCAAGTTCAAAAAAATTAATATACCCCTTAAATATTTCTGTAGAGCCAGAAGCATCCATTAAATAGAGTTAAGTTTTGAAAATCATTACAGAAAGGAGTATGCACTCATTTAGTATTGCCAAAGGCTTCCCCGAAGAATTTGGTAGCTCTTCTACACCCCTTGTACTTCTATACCCTTCCGGACATCTGGGTCATGAAAGCTTCTAGCTTACAAGCTCTTGAGAATTCAATAGAGACGTGGTGGAGGGTGAACACGGCCAAAGAACAAACCCCTTATAGGGGTGAACCACCCTCTGCTGGACAGGATGGAGGGAGATGTGGGATAACAAATTTTTCTTGTTTTTACTGCGCAATAGTCGCAGTTCGTTGAGCAGAACAGCCCTCAGTTGTTTTGCCCGTACCCGTCTAAAGGGGGAAACCACCCCCAAATTCACAAGGAGTAAGTATTCGAAAAACTTTTAAGACCAGAAATATGCACTCTGGAGTTTTTCAATCTGAGAGAAGGGAAATCTGCCAGTCGTATTGAAACGGTTAAGAACATCCCTGGATGAGTGGGAAACAGGAAGGCGGAGAAGGATGTGGGTCAATTAATTTTTTCAGTGCGGTATTTATCGAGCTCTCATACACCTTCTATTATCCCTTGTCCAACCCTCGAACATTTGCTCTGCCTGGTCTGCCTTAACCTTTTACCCTACCTCTGCGTTCTATACATTCAACACACACTTTTTCTAACACACCCCTTCAAAATTCAACGTAAGGAATAACATCAAAGAGTCGACAAAAATGAACAAAATAGGTTTCCACCCCTTAGACGGATACGGGCAAACAGTTGAGGGCTGTTCTGCTCAGTGCACTGCGACTGTTGCGTAGTAAAAACAAGAAAAATTTAATCTCTCACATCTCCTTCTACCCCGTTCAGCAAAGGGTAGTTTTCATCCCTCTAGGGGGTTGATCCTTTGTATGTGTTCACCCTTTGCATTCTCAAGAACTTATAAGCTAGAATCTTTCATTTATGTCCGGAAGGGTATAGAAGTAGAAGGCGTACCAACCCCTTCGACGGAAGCCCTTGGCAGTAGTAGATGAGAGCACGTGGGTTGCAAAGTGCCCATTCATACTCATTTTCGTAATGATATTGATATTCATAACTTTACCCCTATTTAAGGGATTTTTGGCTCTACACAAAAATTTAAGAGGTATACGAATTTTTTTGACCTTTGATTCGGATTCAGAGTCGAAAAGTACAGGCTGGTCCATTTTCGATGGGAATTCAGGGTATATCAGAAACTACTAAAGATATGATAAATCTGACACCACGTTCTCGAGCTCGATTTTTTTCATGGCCAACTCAACTGTCAGATCGGAAATTTGCTATCTTCATTTGTTTCTCAGTTACAGGGCGTTTCTCGTTATTGTGACACTTTTTAACATGTCTGTATCTCAGCTGTTAAATAAGTTAGAGTTAAAATAAAAACTGCTCAAGACTAAATCTTTGGCGTAGAATTGAATGCCGGTATTAGATTAGTAGTAGATCTTATGATTTCGGAGTTATGACCCAAAGTTATATTTTTTTAAATGGAAATCGTAGCTGACTATGGCCTAAAAAAATAGAGATTTTTTCCGCGTTTCAGCAATATATCACATGCTGTAGTTATTTTTTACAAATACGGGAGATACGGGGTGTTTTATATATAAATTATATTTATAATACTAACGGAATTTTAGGACATAGGTGGATAGGAACAAACGGACCGATCAGATGGCCAGCTAGGGTACCTGATTTCAGTCCGTTGGACTTTTTCCTTTGAGGTTTTCTAAAAGACATTATATTTAAAATTCCTTTTAATAATATTTCAAATACCTATACATTTAATGAATGCTACCCGAAGTGTTGCCAAAAGATGCGTGAAATGTGTGACGGCATTTTGAACATTTAGCTATCATTTTTGAAAGTTTTTAAATAAACGTCATATTTTTACAGATATGAGTTTTGTAAAAGTAAGAATTATAGTTTTGTATGTATTTTCATAGCCAGCCATATTAAAATGTAAAAAAGGATCGAATTTATAAATAAAACAACCCGTATCTTCTGTGTTTGGAAAAATAACTATAGCATGTGGTATATTGCTGAAAAGCAAAAAAAAAATATCAATTTTTTTTAGGTCATAACCAGCTACGATTTCCATTTAAAAAATTATACCTTTGGGTCATAACTCCTAAATCTTAAGACCTACTAAAAATCTAATACCGGCATTCAATTCTACGCCAAAGAATTAGTCTTGAGCAGTTTTCACTTTAACCCTAACTTATTTAACAGCTGAGATACAGACATGTTCAAAAGTGTCACAATAACGAGAAACACCCTGTAACTCAGAAACAAATAAAGATAGCAAATTTCTGATTTGACAGTCGAGTTTGCCATGAAAATCGAGCTCGAGAATATCGCGATCATTTGCTCAAAAATGTTCGGTCTGTTCGTCTGTGCAACTTCTGCTGGTTCGGTTCAATGCGGAATAAAATGCTCAAATCAGTGCCCACGTTTAAGAAATGTTATAACATCAATAAATTTTATATTTTTTTCTTATTCTTAATCTATTTCTTTTTGATAGAAAATTGGTATTACTGTACTTTACTCTGACGCGAACTTTGAGCGCAATTTATCAAGTACTTTGCTTATTGCTGTTAATTTTGTTAGTCCACCTAAAGTGTGTTCCGCGATTTTTACTGTAGATAATGTTTGCCTAAAATTTTGTGCTACTAACGGAATTGTTGATAATTCAGTTGTATCGACAACTCAAGCATCCGAATTGTTCAAAGTATGGTCGAGTAGTAGTTGATGATTTTCTACATTCTAGTCGTCCTTCAACGTACTCGGTTGAAGAAAGCATCGATAAAGTGAAAGAAATGGTGCTTTCAAACCATCATTATAATTGGAGAGAGCTCTCACAAATTAGTTCGCACCATTTTTACCATTTTAGTTGGTATTTTTGATATGAAACGTCGCAGCATGGTTGGTTCCAAAAGAGCTGAATTTGCTTCAAAAAGAGCAGTGCAAATATGTTGCTGAAAACATGCTTAAACGAGCTAATTCGGACTCTATATTCATGCAACGCATCATAACGGGTGATGAGATATAGGTTTAAAATTTGAAATGAAGGCGGGCTAGCTCGAAATGGCGCTTTTCTAATGGAACCAAAAAAAAACACGTCAAAGTTGATCAAAACTCAAAATTATGTGGACTGTTTCCTTTGACTATCGTGGTGTTATCCACACAGAATTCCTTCCGGATGAAGAAATAGTCAACAAAAGGGGACCGCCTAGCCGGGTGTCTTGGCCGGTGGATTTCGATCTGCCGAGTTAAGCATCACGGACGCAGGCTGGGACTTGGATGGGTGACCTAAGGCAGGCTCGGGGATATGGCTGTGGCAGCCTACCAGAGGCCTGGGTCGCTCAATATCTTCCGCCTGCGTATGGTCGCCGATAAAAATAGTAATGAGAATAGAACAATAAGACCAACTCAAGACCATGCTATCATACATAAAAATTGTACGAGACTTTGCCACCAAGCCACCCGTGTAGTAATAGGATGGTTTGAAGAAAAGTACTCGAGTAATGAAGGAGCGTGTACAAGGGGCCTAATAAGGCCTAAGTGCCGCGGTGGAAAAAGCAATTCCACCACCCTTCGACATACAGACAGTCAGACAAACAGTCAACAAAGAATATTATCTTGGCGTTATGAGCCGCGAAAGACCAAATTTATGGAAGGACGATTCTTGGATTTGCACCGCGATAATGCGCCATCACACAAAGCGATAATTGTGAATGAATTTTTAATCAAATACCTACTCAACGAATGTCATCGAGTAGCCACTGTATTTTCCGCATATGGCCCCTACTAATTTTTTGAATTAATCCACTCAGTGGAACACGTTTCGAGTCAACCAGAATTTTTTGACACAATGTATATCTCAAATTCTTCCCAAAGTTTAAAACCAATTTCTTTTGATTTTACTTAATTGCATTTCCTGTACCTACATATCACCACATACCACAAACGTATAAGAACTATTTTGTGTTCGCCAGCTTTTGTCCAGGAAAGAAAATAAAATAAAGAATCAGCCACATACAATTTTATATTTATTGATCACATTGCAACAGTCAACTTTGGTATATTTTCACTTAATATCATATAATTATTAGTATACAAAATGTATCAAATACTAAATTTTATGAAACCTATTACTGTGTTTGATACATTTTCTGCTGCTTATTTATATATTACAATAATTTACATTTTGTATTTTTTTATATACACTATAAACTAATCAGTTTCAACCATAATGAATCACTGACTTATTGCTACCTAACCCACACATTGTATAGAATATACAGGGTGTAACTGATAAAAGAAAGTGATTAGCAGGTTTTTGGATGGATACAAATTATTATTTATATAGTGATTCATTAAACTAAAAGAAACAATATTGTCTGTGACTGAATTGAAAATGCACCCTGTATATACCTAAGTCTTCCCGTAAATAATAAAACAGTAAAAATAGATATCTTGAAAACCTCATACATTGTTACCTATTTAAATAAGTCACCTAAAATTAAAATTTTAACGATAATTCATACATCAATAAAAATATCATTGGCACTTTTTTTAAATTATAATTTTTCGTCCTAGTATTTACTAAATAGGTAACATGTCAAAAATAATTATTGAGCATTACAAGTAAACTAAGAAAAACATAACAACTAAAATATCCCTAGCACATTTTTGGTATGAAATGACTATTGCTGCGTGCAGAAAAAAAAAACTCTTTTCAATAATACCAATAACAAACTGATTGTACCTTTACTAATATGATTATCAGACGAGTTGGTAACATTATGTTTTTGGTGTTTAATAAATATAAATTTATTTATATAGTCTCAGAAAAAATTAAATAATTACAGTAATATGTACAAAATTTTTCCTTCCTCTGATATCAAAATGATGCAAATGTTCATAACGGAAAAATAGAAAAAGAAAACAGTTTACTATAGAAAGGAGAAAGTTTAGATCGTGATCTAGATAAAATATTGTTTCACATTCATTGATTAATATATACAGGGTGTTATATAAATGGCATACCCGTAAAACGCTTGCAATCTGTTGGCCAAATTGCTGTTTCCAGTCAGATATAACAGAAACCGGATTTACATATTTGGATACAACTTTTCTTACAGTTACAGTGAAAATGTGCTAATTGTCAGTAGTTGCTTTGCAAAGGAGTCTTTAGCTGACGGAGTGTTTATCTAACATATTATCATAAGCTAGGTACATATCTGAGCATGAATGGTTTGGAAACAAGGCAAAAAACAAGCAAAATCATGGATGAGACACCTCGATATAACGTCTACATACATTTGTGCATTCGTAAGGTTTTTGCTTTGCCTCGTATACGTACCTGGCTGTATGACACACTCTCTTAGATATGTTTCCCTCATCGAATTATATATGACACTAAGAGCAAAATAGGTTTTATCCAAATAAGTAAAAATGTATAGAATGTTTCGTTAAAAAAATATAAATAAGTTTTTTTATTCTGGCAACAACTTGATTGCTTTCAATAGATCGATCATGTCCTTCCGCTCCTGGATATCAAATCTAATATCAATCAGATGGTATAAAATTTCCAAACCATATGCCATAAAAAACACCCTGTATGTTTTAAAATAGGTTCTCAACGAATCAACATAGAAGTTCTTCAATTCTAACGTCATTTAAAATATTTTTCTATACATATTAACATGTATTTATCTTTCGTAATATTGATTTTTATTCGACCTTTTGATGGTAGCAAATCATTTTTTAAGCACATAATTGTTACATTTCCAGTTCATTAAAAGCTATAAACAGAAAATATTAAACACCATTGGCTGTATAAAGTGTCCCAAAGTTTTAACATATAATTAATCAAATACAAGTTTTTAAGATAAGTAACGTTTTGTTAACTGGAACATAAGTTGAATCGTTTAATTGAGACATAAAAAGCTCAAAAATGTCAATGAATAATATTTTGATTTTTAGCATTAAACAACTGCGGAAGTTACTTATATGTTTTTTTAATCCATAGGCAGCTTGTTGGCGTTATTATAATGGGTACAAAATACCGCACGAAAATGTGAATTTCGGGAAAAATTACTAGACAAAAGTTATTGCTTTTGATGAGTTGATAAATGATTAAAATTTTGGGACTTACTTTTGGGTCAATAAGTGTACTCTTCCAGTATAGTTAACTCTTTCATTCACGGTAGAAACAACTAGCTTATTTGTTGTTGACTTTTGCTCTTTGCGAGTATTTTTTGTACTAACTCCAATATCGTAATGTTTATACCGAAATTCTTACTGTTCCGTTAAATGAAATTATTCTTAATATTGAACTAATTTCAAAAACTCTTTGCGGAATATATCAGAGAAAGAAAATCCCAAAGCTGTACATTAGTTTACAAATATTACAATAATTACAATTTGGGCCTATTCAGTGGCATGAGTCACTACGTGTCCTCACTGTTCTCCGAGACGGGGTTTTCGCCTTTCTGCAGGCACTCTCGGAGGCCCCTCAGCACGATCTCCACTCTACGGTCTATGGCGACTAGGTGGGGTTCCCACAGTATAGGGGCGATGGGGTCTCTGGCCAAGCTCTGACGCAGCGCCTCGCTCAGTTTGGTGGGGCCGTTGTGGAACCTAGAAAGATGGAATATTTTTATAAGTCGCGTTAAAAAAAGGAAAAATCTTTCATTAAAATATATATATATATATATGGCTTTTCAAACGGAGAGAGAAAATGTAGTATTTATTTTGTTCTTTAAATATTAAGAAAGATACAAAAATTATATAGCGTATACTTTTCCTACTAATAAAACGGATTTTACTGATGTAATTTCTTGATTTGCCCCTTTTGCAAGAGGTCACATCCCTCCAAGTAATTCATTAGGTACGTATTGCCAATTAAAAATCTGTTTTGATATAGTTCAGATATTTAAAGCAAATTTGACTCTTTTATTTTATCTTAATTCTAATAGGTTTTTAGCAAAAAAAAATCATAAAACAGATCAACGTGCACACATAATTTTGTTCCGCCGGAGAATAATTCTTGTATATTTTGCACACGTTTTTTGTATACTGAAGATTTTAAAAGACTCCATCGCATAAATCTATAAGATTTAATCGGGTGGACCAAGAGGCCAAAATTGAGGTCGGCTACAACCTATCTGATTTCAAAATGCTTCGTTTAAATATTGCTCTTACACTAAAAAAGTGAGTGTATACAGGGTTGTCTAGATTTTAATAGACAAACTTCGGGAAAGTACTAAACTGCAAAAATTAACATCACTTTGCTCTATGAACATAGGCGCAAAAAGCCACTAAGCCGACTAAATTCCGATGTGATTTTAAATATTTTGGACGATAGCCTCTTCCAGTTAATGGAGGACATACCTTGGGACCAACGAATCGGGACCTGGTTTCAAATAACACATTCTGGCCAGGTAGTTCGTGAATGTCTGACAAACAACTACTAAAACAGATAGATTGGTCGGAATGGCCCCATACCTTAGCCACCTAGATCACCTTATCTAAATATTTTAGATTATTTTATTTGGGGGTAACTTAGAAAAATGACGTTTATGCCGTTCCTATAGCAAAATCCAGTTTCAATCAGAGCTGCTGTGAATCCCATAACCAAAAGATGCCAAAAGCAAGAAACATTTTTTTTCTAACCATTTGAAGAACGAATAACCCTAATTTTTTCGCTTTTTTTAATTTGCATCCTATATGCAAAAGTTGACGCCTACTGAGATATAATCCTCTCATTATGGTACTGCCAAACAACATTTTTTAATATTATTTTAAAGCTATTGTAGTTAGATACTTTTTATTTAGTATGTTTTTATTTATTTGAGCGTAATATATTCCTTGAATATGTAAGAAAATAATATAAAAGGTATAATTTTTTCATCACCCTTTTTGTTCCCCTTAACTTTTTTTATATACGCCAGTGGTTACCGGATGTCCGTTTGCTAAAACAGAATTTCTTTATACAATTTTTTATCTCTTGTAAAACATGTAATCTTCGGCGTTAATTGTAACAAATTATCAGGTAATTTCGTTCTCTGGGACAAATTTTTGGAACAAATTTTAAACAGCTATAGTTAGTACCTACTCATTTTTATGTTTGTTTCTAAACGAAAATAGTGTTCGATATAACAGAGAAAAAATGTCAATTTCGTATAAACTAATCCTAAAAAAAACAAAAAAAAAATCCATATTCGCCTATACAAGTAGAAAAAATATTACAAAGCGTCTTATATCTTAAAAATTAAATATCATATGCTGCTGTAGAAATACAATATTGCTATTGAACACCATATAATTTTGACTGGCGATTACAGAAAATTTTATTTTATTTATAACAGGATCATTTTTAAGTTGTTTTATTTAATTTACTGTAAGCCTTCCACCATATTGAATAAATGATTCTAAAACTACCCATTTTGTTTTTTAAAAATAAAATTTTAAATACACTGTACATTGGAAGTTAAACAGTTATTAGCGAAGAAATTTTTAATTTTATAGAAGATAGTATGGAGTAGAGGAGAAGGTCCGAATATGGGCCATGTACTTAATATGGGCCCCATGGCTATTCCTACTAGAACATCTAGCGGCATCACTGAATAATACTTTAAAAGACAGCTATCTAGTAGCGAACTGTTTTACCGACATTGTGCAGTTGATTTCCTATATTGTTAGAAACAAGTGGTGGTGAATGTGTTACTGGAATTCTGAATATTATCTGAAGGTAAGTTGTTATTATGTTTTATACGATTTTTAGTAGGTATGTTTGTATATTCACCTAGATATTTTGTATAAAGATCAAAGTTTGTTTTGTTCAGAAAATATTTTGATTCACTTAAACTCTACTGTCTACGCCTCCGTTTCCTAGTAGATTCTTGTTACCCGATTTTTTTCGAAGCCGCGGCTAGTGAGACTCCTAGGAAGGCGTAGAACTTAGTATTGCTGTTTTTTTTGTAAAAAAAATCACAGAATATTTCTAAAATGGTTTGATACTAAAATAATAGTCAGAGATTTGGTTTACCGTGGCCCGAGAGTCAGTAGTGGATTCGTAATTATGCGTCTGTCACAATTTAATTTAATTGATGACTGATGACAGCGATGTCGCCGTGTTTTTTCGCTGTCTACGATGATTTTTTGCTTATTTTTCATTAATTTTAATTGAAAATCTCTGGTTCGGTGACACTACAAATAATAGGTATTTATTGTTAAATGACATGCAATGCTGGTAATATGGGCCTTTTGTGGGTCCGAATATGGGCCAGGGCCTATATTCTCCCCTGATTTTGAATTCAGTTCTTTTTCCAGGTTGACCATGCCATGTAACAAACCAAAGTTTTCGCCAAAGAATTTAAGGAAACAATGAAACTCCGAAGACATGATGAAGGCTATGGATAGCGTAAATAAAAAAAATTACATTTGTGACTTTTGCAAATAATTTATTTCTTTCCAATTTCTGTTGTTGCCATTACTCTTTTGTATAATCATATATGAAGTTTTTTACTAGAAAATAAAGTTTCCTTTGTTAAACGTAAACGTATGCATCATTTTTATAGGGGCCCATATTTCATACACTCTACCCTCATACAAGATATTGTTCAATTTTCATGTTTTAACTGATATCTCAGTATTTTTTATCTTTTCGGAACGTTGCCGCGCTCATTATTGTAGACGAGTTCTTGGTCTAAGTGTGTCCCAATTTTTAGGTGTAATTTGTTAATAATCTATAAAAAACAAAACAGGGGTCCATATTCGGACCTTCTCATCTATATCTCTTTTAAAAAAAGGAAAAAAATCTTACTACACGATTTTTTACTTAATTAAATACGTACCTATTTCAAATTGTATTTTTCTAAAAAAGTATTCTTTTGTGCAGACCGACACAAATAAGTTTGCGTCTGAGAGAGCTCCGCCTACAAATGGACTAAATGGATAAAGCTCCTATCCCAAATTGAAATAAGTAGCTTTAGAATTATTTGCAATTTGTTTAACTAAGCTTAATAAAAAAAACCTTTACCGTTAAAAATTAAATGCGTTGATAGAATTTCCAAAATTTTCAATGTCGTGGATATCCTGGTAAACTCAGAGGATGTGCCTCTAGTAACTCTACCACATCTTTTCTGGTTGCCACATTTTAATTTTTTCGTTTAATTAGATAAGACGCTAATCCAAATTCTTCCTGTCTAGATAAAATATTTACCAAAATACTTTTGATTATGTTATATTTCTCAAAACTCTCAGAACTTAATTACTGTAGGCAAGTTTTTTGAAAATTATTACAAAAGAAATCAGGACACGGAAATATTACAAAATTAGAATTATCGTTTCATTATATTTTTCTAAGTATATTTAAATTTAGGTTCTCGATTATGAAGAATGTCATATTAACAGATTTGAACCAGCTGGCCGTCCGGTATAAATCGTAAATAGTTTTTTTTATTGCAAGAAGACCAAATACCTTTCATATCCTCCCCTTATTTATCTCCTTTGAGTTTGCAGCGGGCCAATATAAAAGTTTCCCCGTATACAAGCAGGAAAATACCTAGATTGTATTCGCGTAAAGTTAAACAAAAGTTGACATCTAATCTCCTTACCGGGGCAAATAATATCGTATTATAGATATGAAATTCAAGATCACAGAATATTTTATGTATGTTCCGTTTGAGCCGCGAATTCGCCAGGCCCTAAACCTGATAAAGATAAATCGAGAACAAACCATCACCGAAAGCGTAATACCCATAGAGGTAAGCCCCTTCCTTTGTTGTGGCACCGAATTTATTCAGGCAAAGCATAAAAAATATTTTAGTGTTTTTTTTTTCTTGGCGTTTTATTGACACGAAGTTAAGGGATCGTGATCTGAATCTGAGCAATGGTTTAGAGGTTCGTTATGTAATGCTAAAAAAAATGAGATCACAGAGTTTTCAACATGTTAAATACGCAGGAATGTACAGGGTGTACTATATATGTATACTATACTATAGAACGTAGATAAAACAAAATATAACTATCGTGTCCTTTCCAGTGTTTTCAATTTTATGGTTATAAATTTTAATTCGCTTTCCCGTAGCATTAAAATCTTTGTTCAAAATAAAACCCGAGATCAATTACTCGCGTCCGATTTGCTACTGATGTCTCTACAAGAAAGTTATATAGTTGTATGGTTGTACAACCTATTGTACAATAACTTTTTAATAATTATCTGCTAAACTATGAAAAGTAGAAGAAGGAAGAGAAGTCTTGAGGTGTCCAAGTAGACGGTTTTGATTTTAATTCCTTGCACAGTGATATTTAGGAAAATAAATTTTTATAAATTTTCGTCTTGAAAATTATCGGATAAAAAATGTCTTACATAAGAGAATACTGAAAAAATTCTCTTTAACTAATTAGTGCCTTCTAAATTTATTTCTGAAATACGTTTTTCGCTAAAGTTTTAAGGGTACCAAAAGGAACCCCGAAGGTCGAAAACTAGGGAACAACAAATCGCGGACACTGCGACAGATAGTCCAGGAGCTCAGAAATGAGCTACTAGTCCAGAGGCGGGCTTTCTAAGACCTAGACAGAAGCACCAGGGACTGCTCCAGGTCCTCAAGGCTAAACAAGCTCTCGAACGGAAC